TGTTTGTTTAGCTTCTATAATTGAAACATAGTTGCTTAGAGTGCAGCTCAGAGCCCAGCTGAGGCAGGCGGGGAACCTTGGCTTCCTCCATCACCAGGGCAACCAAGCCTCATGTTCGCTTCAGCTGCATGGCTGCCGGCCGCCATCTTGGTTGGCAGTTAATTTGCATATCTCGCTGATTAGCCAATGGGAAGCGTAGCAGAGGTATGGTTAATTACCATGTTTGTCTATTATTAGATAGGATATATCATGTCAAGGAAGATTAATAGACTGGCTCAGATTAAAGAGACACAACTAAATACAATGTGCTATCCTGTTTGGGTCTTAGAAGAGGAAAAGTACATTCGTGGAAAAACTCTTGAAATCCTAATAAAACCCGGTAGTTGAGTCCATAGTATTATATCAATGTTAATCTCTTCGTTTTGACAAATGTACCACTATACATATAAAAAGGTAACATGCAAATTAGCTGGGACACCATAACACGTCACGACTGGACCATTAGCATATTACCTCTTTATTAGCTCCTATCATCAGGAGGCTGCCTGCATGCTCTTTGGAATGTTGCTCCAGAGACAGGAGATGGGACGGAAGCGGGAAGGCGGGAGCAGAGAAGCGGGGAGGCTGGAGTGGGGAGGCGAAGAGGCAGGAGAAGGCGGGACCAGCCTGAGGCAACTCGAGGGTGGGTGGCACCACACGAATTCACACACTGGGCTCCTAGTCCTATATAATAAAAGTCTAATATGCAAATTGACCAAACAGCAGAACTGGTTGCTATGACGTGCACTGACCACCAGGGGGCAGATGCTCAACGCAGGCACTGCCCCCTGGTGGTCAGTGTGCTCCCACAGGGGGCACACTGCTCAGCCAAAAGCTAGGCTCATGGCTGGTAAGCCTCTCTCACCTCCGTGGCAGTGCTAAGGAGCAGCAAGCCAAGCGGTAAGGAGCAGCAAGCAGGCGGGTGGTAAGGAGCGAGGGATCCCAGACTGTGAGAGGGCGCAGGCCAGGCTGAGGGACCCCCCTACCCTGAATGCACGAATTTCGTGCACTGGGCCTCTAGTAGTTATATAAGAAGTTAGCATGAGGAGAAGCTGGGTGAAGGGTACATGGGAACTTTCTGTACTATCTTTACAAAATTTTCTGTGAATTGAAAATGATCCCCCTCCAGAGATATATGTGTATAATGAGTCCGAATCTAAAGTGAAATAAAATGGAATAAATACCTACCCTCAAAGTTGATGAGAGATCAAATGGGCTGGTGTCTGCAAAGCACACACACAGGGTACATAGTTGAAAAGCCAATAAATGCAGGCTGTTATGATAGCTGTTATATTACCTCTAACTCCTTTCCCGCCTCTCGGATTCTGTGACCACTGTTCCTTGGTGGCAGTGAACTTACAGCTTCAGCTTTTGGGAAAGTGAAGTTACAACATAGTTCTACTTGCTAGTGTCCTCCTAAATATGACACAGCACCGTTCTGCTTCCCTTTACCCAATTTCTTTCTTTGAAAGCCACAGGAAGATTACCAAACGAACATGCAATGTATCTGAAAACTCTCTGAAGAACTGTAGTAGGTACTACCCATCCTTCTCATCTTCTCCGGGTATCACTCCTCCTCCCTGCCCCCTGTTCATTAATAGTTGGAGTATTTTGCAAACTCCTTAGTGCTGGATACCAAGGCAATGTCTTCCTTTCCCAATGTCTCCATCTGTGGTCTCAGCCTTTTGGATGCCACAGACCAGTTAACTTTTATTTTATTTTTTATTTTTTGCTTTTTTTTAAGTTTAATAGGACAGTCTCATGTCCAAATTTTTTTAAAATATGTTTTTATTGATTTCAGAGAGAGGAAGAGAGGGATAGAAACATCAATGATGAGAGAAAAATCACTGATTGGCTGTCTCCTGCACACCCCCTACTGGGGATCTAGCCGCAACCCAGGCATTTGCCCTGACTGGAATGGAACCATGACCTCCTGGTTCATGGGCCAATTAACTTTTTTTAAAAGGAAGGGGTGGGGCAATTTACAGTTGTCAATTTGTTATTTTACCTACAAGGGAGCTTTTTGTTTTAAAACCCCCAATATACAGTTATTATCATCAACATTGCATCAAAATGCCATAAAAGGAAACGGCATTTTAACACCAAAATAATAAGCGGGGCAGAATCTCAAAATAAAGCGTCCTTCCAAAAAAATCACCGTTACCCACTTACTCTGATACGTCAAAACTTTTAAAATAACGGCGTTAAAAAGTCCTAAAAAAAGTCCTAAAAAAATCCCAACATAAAATGCATCATAAGATACTACATTGCATTTCATTTTGGGATTGTGACCATCGCATAAAGTAAGAGAGTACTTATAAAGTGTACGAGTGCTGTTTACAGAGTAACAGACTGCACAGCTGTGTGCCCATCACCGTGCATAGACTGGGCCCGGCAGGTGGAAGGCCCTGGGACCCCTGCATCTTCCTCTCCAGCTCCAGGGGACACCACCCCTGTGGGATGCGGAACCATTTCCTTTCTTCTCCTCATATTTTACTCCCTATGTCTCTATTCCTAACAAGGCACTTATTCTTTTTTTTTTTTTTCTGGTTCTACTACTTCTAGGAAAGGAATCATATTGTGTGTGACTTGCCTTTTTTTGCTCAGAATAATGGTTTTTCGTGATACAAAGGTGGTGTTTAGAGATCTGTATCTGACGGAGTTTTGCAAAGAGGAGCCAGGGTGTCCATCTATTTGTGTAGCAGCCATGGTGGCTAAACGTCCAGCTGTGCCCACATCTGTGGATGGAAGGGGAAGCCAAGCTCCCAAAGCTCTCACCAGGCTCTTTGGGCCAACAGCCTCTAGGTCTCCAGTGGCTTTTATGAGACGGGCAGGCTCGGGGCCCTAATGTGGGCTGCGAGGGGGGTGTCGCTTCACTGGAGCAGCACAGCTGTAGCTCTGATCGCCCCCCAGCAGTCAGAACATCACCTGTGAAGGCGCCGTGAGCAGGTGGATTTCACAGACCCACAGGAAGGCCTGGGCTGGCCTTGAAAATCACCACTCCATTGGTTTATCACTTCCTAGGTGAATATTCCTACCCATTGTCTCCTTCGCACGTGCAAGGAGAGGCCTAGGATACTTTCATCAGATTCCTGGAATGTCTCTAAAGAAACATCCCGAACATATGAGTCCCTAGGTCTCTCTAGAAACGCCCCTCCCAAGACCAAATGAATCAGAATTTTGTATTTTAATGAGATTCCCAGGGGACTTGTACGCACATTCAAGTTCGAGAAGCACTGGCCTAGATCCTTCATTTGGGAGAAGGAGGTGGTGTTCAAATGAATATTTTTAAGCATAACACACAGAGAGGAAAGTGTTACATCCTAAGAGTGTCATTTGAGAAGTCACTACAAAATAAACCCACAGGTGTACCCAGCACCCAGATTAAGAACTAGAGCTCTGCCACACCCTGGAAGCCCCATTTCCCACAAGCCCTCCCTCACTAAGCCCCCTGCTCACCCAAGATAACCAGAACTCCAGCTTCTAAGGGCACACGTTAACTTGGTCCGTGTCGGCTCTTCGTATAAGTGGAATCATACCGTATGTACTGTTTTGTGTTAAACTTCATTTGCTCGACATTATGTTTGTAAGAGTCTAAATCACTCCCCAGGAGCCCCACTGCCTACTGTGTGCTTACACATTGTGTACTGATCTCCCTCCAGCTTCCTGCATCTCCCATCTCCAGAAAACTGTCATAATGTTAAAGAAAGCCCATGTATCCAAATGACTATTTATTGAGCATCTAGACTGTGTTGGCATTGCACTGAAGGCTGGACCCCCAACATATGTTGCCAAATTGAGACTACTGCTTCAATGCCCTCAGTGATGTGGGAGATTCACGTTGGGATGTGAATTCAAACTTTGAAAGGAATTTATTACCTGCCCTAAAAACACCCCAAACTGCAGGTTAGCACACAGCCACCAAGGAGCAGCAGGGCTCCTCACTCACGTCTTTTGTACACATCATGAAATCCAGGTACAATAAGTTTCTGCCTCAACTATTTCTACTTCTCTTCAAATGTTATTGGGGTAAATATTGGGGTTCTCCCAGCTAACAGTTCTAACTCTCGCAAAAATCTCTTGGTGCTAGTGCTTCGCAAGGCCTTTGGGAGTAAAGGATGTGCAGACACTCACCTTGGCTCCCCGTGGACATTCGTGGCACTCAGATCCGCTTGCCTAATTAGTTCACCATAAGCGTTGCTATGAGACCAGTGGTGGAGCATCTTTCTGGGCCTCAGTTTTCTCACCTACAAAAACAAGGAAGCATACTGCATCACAGGTTTTTACCTAGAAATCCATGGGTCCACTAGAGCCGTGGTCGGCGAACTGCGGCTTGCGAGCCACATGCGGCTCTTTGGCCCCTTGAGTATGGCTCTTCCTAAGCCTTAGGAGTACCCTAATTAAGTTCATAACAATGTACCTACCTATATAGTTTAAGTTTAAAAAATGTGGCTCTCAAAAGAAATTTCAATCTTTGTACTTTTGATATTTGGCTCTGTTGACTAATGAGTTTGCCGACCATTGCACTAGAGAATCTGTTAATCCCTGGAAATTACATGAAAAATTATGAATGTGTGTTTTGGGGGAGAAAGAAGCCCAGAGGACAATGACCCCCCACATTAAACACATGTTAGGTGATCCCCAAGGACCTTTGCACTTACTAGTCTGCAGTCAACGTGGCTCTCTGTGTCAACAGGAGGACTTGATTTTTCTCAGTGTCTGGCTCCAGCTGAATCTGAAAAGAGAAGTTGGCCTTGCCTTTTTCGTTCTGTAGCTTTCTCTGCCCTAACAGGGAGGACTGTGATAGAGCTGTGCCACACAATAGAGTCTCTCTCATCTCTACGGGTGAGATAACATCAAGGTCATTTCATTTAAAATAGCATGGCCCTGAATCGAGTCCCTTCGTTTTAATATGACCTCAATCTGGGTCGTACTGTATTCAGTTGGCTTGTTTTCTAAACACTGTGTCGATCCAAACCCCCAGAGCGCAGTGGCAGGTCAGGTTCTCATAAGCAAATAAATGTGAACATACTGATGTCTTCAGGACCAGCGGTCGCCAACCTTTCGGACCTCACAGACCACCAGGGGTCCACGGACCACCAGTTGGCGACCGCTGTTCTGGACAGATCAACCGTCCAGTTTTCTCTACCCAGAGGAAGGGTCTGCAGCACCCCCAGGGAGAAAGGCACCCAGGTTGGCCCAGCCAGCCCAGGGTGCTGGCCTGTCACCTGAGCAAAAGAGTGAAACCAGACCCTTCCTACCTGTCTAAGGTCGGAGCTTGTTATTTTAACCCAACAATAATATTGGATTACACATTCCCTCTGTGTGGCTGGTTCCCCTGGCAGCACCCTGGCAACAACTGAGCCAAAAGCTTTCATGACAAAGCCACGTTGGTCAGTAAAGGAACACCTTGTATTCCTTCCGTGGAGCAAGACACGCTGGACTGGTAAACAGTGTTCTTAATAGTTACACTGGTTTCACTGCAGATGAAAAGAGGTGGTTTCAGAACTCCTGGCTTCCTACAAACACCCTTTTCTGTTCTCAGTTATCTAAGGAGGCAGAGCCCCACCTTCAACGCTTGCTGCTCCAAGTGTGGGCCAGAGACCAGCGCCACCTGGCAGCTTGTTAGAAATGGGAAAACCGCAGCCCCACCCAGGATTGCTAACCCGGAATCTGTATTCTAAGCAGATCGCCAGGTCATTCCTAATCATAGACGCATTCAAATTTGGGAAGCACTCCTGAGGAACGCCCCGAATCTCACAGGCAGCCGCACCTACCTCTCTCCTATCATGTCTGCGCCGCTCCGGCAATTAAATAATGATCAATAAATATGAGCTTCCTTCTTCTCCCTCCTAAAACCCAGAGGACCACCAGGGATGATTTGAGGGAGGGGAGGAGGAACAAGCCCAGAAGAGGAGATACTTGGAAAGGGAAGAAGGAATGATGAAGAAGGAGAAAGAGCAAAGAGATTACTTCTGAAAGGAAAGTTTACATCTTGGGTTTTATGGGCTTGTTATTTTTTTTCTGTATTTATATTGAAGTACAGTTGGTATACAAGTTATATTCATTATATGAGTTTCAGGTGTACAGTATAGTGATTCAACATTTTTATACCTTACAATGGGAACACCTCACTAATTCTAATAATTGTCTGTCCCTATGCAAACGTATCACAATATTATTGACTAGATTCTGCTTCCCCTTTTCACCCATTGCTACACCTGCGCCCCTCTGGCAACCATCCTTTTGTTCCCTGTTTCTATGAGTTTGTTTTTGTTTGGTTTGTTCGTTTGTTTTGTGTTTTTAGATTCCACATGCAAGTGCAGAATCATGGCTATTAAGATTTTGTTTGTAAGCCCTTCAGCGATCCCTGGTGGTGTGCATCCCACCTGGGACACAAAGGAATGGTCGATCATCCAAGTGCAGCAGGAGGTCCGCGAGAGTCGGCACAAAAGGCGCTAGGAGGGCTCTCCTTGCCCTCTTTGTAAACTGCACTGCAGGGCCCGAGGGTGTGGTATCGCATTGTCATTCAGGCTGAGGCAGCAGTGGACAGCGGCCCACACTTTAGAACCGGCTGCATTTTTAAGGGTGTTGACAGAACTCAGGGTAAAGACCTCAGAGTCACGAGTGAATGTCCATCCAATGCTCCGGGTAAGTGAAGGGTGGGGATATGAGAGAAGCAAGAAGCCCTCATCTGACCTCCTGTGAGTTGTCACAGCCACTTCCCTTTTCACTCTGTCTCCACAGAGTTCTCAACAATTGAAGGAACTCACTCTTCCCTGTCTTCTGGGAAAATGGAGATGAGAAACAAGGCGAGGAGATTAGAATGTGCCACTTTTTAACAGAAATATGGAAAAACCAAAAATTCCAATAGAAAACAGAAAATGACCGAGAAGTCAGAAACACGCATAAGAACGGAAGGTAGCAATTATGTAAATGTGCCAGTTAGCCGGTTCTCAGGAACTTAACAGATACACAGACCCTGGAAGGTGGCAGTGTCTGTGCCATCTCCACCGAGAATAGGACATGAAAGGAACAGACTCCAACCACAGCGGGAGCGCCCCAGAACTTCGACTGGTTAGGGCTTCTGGACTCTGATCCAAACGAACAAAAGAAACAATGGGCTCGCGCAGAAGATCCTTTCTAATGGGTCATTTTTTTAAAAACCACCAGCTCTATTGTAAGTTAGGTGAGGTTCTGACGGGATGTCAGGGGTGCAGGTATGGTTCCTCTAATCCAGTTCTAAAAGGCTCCTGGGACCTCAGACCCAGTCCTTTCTTGTAGGGCAATTAATTCTACTGCATTAAGTATTCTTGTGGCAAGTGAGCCACCAGTGGGCTCTGAGCCTTTCCATTATTCATGTTTCTGTGCTTACAAGAAAAAGGGTCTTAAAAATAAAAAAGAAAGAAAGAAAGAAAAAGGGTCTTCTTACCAAGCCCTCTGTAAACAGACTTTCTACAAATTGCACACAGTGTGTTAGCTGCACCACAGGAGGAGGGAGGAACGAGCTTTACCATCAAACGCAGACCCTTTTGTAAACCTGGATTTTGAAAGACACAGTGGAAGAGCCCACCCCAGGTAAAGAAATGAATTGCTCACAAACACAGGACAGAAATTCAGGGCAGCTGACAGGTACCCAATGCACGTAAAGCTGTTAGCACAGTGCCTATTCCTTAGGATGCAGGCAAGACATGGGGTGCTCTTAAAACATCTCTACTCCACTATTGGCTCTAACCTCCACTGTACACAGGCCTTGGGATCCAAGGGTCAGTATTTCACCTAGTGCACCCAGGCTCTTCATTCTCTGTCTGGGAACCCACAGTGTTTCTGGCTGCACCAGAGTTCCCTCCAGCCTCCCCTCCCTGCCCCGGGGTCAGGCAGCCTCCTCCCTGTTCTCTGCAGAACATCAGCTCCTTCCTGTCCAGCCTTTCCCACCCTTCTGAGAGCCACGAGATGAAAACAGAGGCTTGAAAACCACTCCATCAAGCCTTGGCTGGTGTGGCTCTATGGTTAGAGTGTCCATCCATGCATCGATTCCCAGTCAAGGGCACATACTTGGGGTGCAGTTCCATCCCCGACCCGGTTAGGGGCATGTGCAGGAGGCAACCAATAGATCTCTCTCTTTCTCTCTCTCTCTCTCTCACTTGCTCTCACTCTTTTCCTCTCTCTTCCTTCCTTCCTCCTCCCTTTCACTCTCTCTAAAACTCAATGAAAAAAAAAATCCTCGGATGAGGATTAACAAAAAAAGAAAATCACTTCATGGACTGGAGCTAAAATAGAGGGTGAAGATAGTGAATGAACCCAAGGTCCAGCCCCTTCCTCCTTCCTCCTCCAACCTCTACTCCCTCCGCATCCTCTGGACGGTAACACACACTCCGGGCCCACGCAGCTCATGCAGAATGGAGGAGCTCACGCTGCCTCCAAGTGACGATCTGAAAGGACATGGCGCTCATCAGACATCTGGTTTACTGGGATTAAATTATATATATTTTAAGAACCATTTAACGCAGGGGTCCGATTTTATTGTTTTTGGTCAAAGGCCACAGTAAGATTACAGAGCAAAGAACAGCACAATGTAATCCTGAGTTACGGAGTCAGAGCCATAACATTCAGAGGAAGATTCAAAGGAGGCATGGTTTCTGGGTCAACTTAACTGTGGAGTCCAAAATAACTTCCGCAGCCAGCGCAGGAGATAACCGCTAAAGGCAATGTGCGTGTCTGCGTCCAAGTAAGACACTGACCTTCACTGCAACCTTCTCAAGTGAATGCTGTTAGAATTATCCCGAGAACTCTCCGGTGGAAGGGCTGATAGACCAGAAGAGTCTACATGTGTCACGCATCAGTCAAGGCTGCCGAGCGGAAATGGGTCCCAGAAAAGTCTTGTCTCTGTTTAGACAAGATGAAGCTGGCCAGGGAGCGATGCATTTCGGTGAGGTCTAGCCATTGTCTACACCAGTGGTTCTCAACCTTCCTAATGCCGCGACGCTTTAATACAGTTCCTCATGTTGTGGTGACCCCCAACCATAAAATTATTTTCGTTGCTACTTCATAACTGTAGTTTTGCTACTGTTATGAATCGTAATGTAAATATCTGATATGCAGGATGTATTTTCATTGTTACAAATTAAACATAATTAAAGCATAGTGATTAATCACAAAAACAGTATGTAATTATGTATATGTTTTCCAATGGTCTTAGGCGCCCCGTGAAAGGGTCGTTCGACCCCCAAAGGGGTCTCGACCCACAGGTTGACAACCGCTGGTCTACACTGTGTCCACCCTCCCCTGCCTTTGGACCACCAAAGACCCAGCAGCAGAGATGCGCGCTAAGGGCTTCTCTTATGTTTCTGCTTCTTCTGCCTTGTGTCCTTTTGTGGGTAGAACTGCGTGCCCCCAACCCTCCCACACACACAAAGATACTTTGAAGTCCTCACCCTGCGACCTGTGAATGTGACCTTATTTGGAAACAGGGTCTTGGCAGCTGTAATCAAGTTAGGATGAGGTCATACTCAATTAGGGTGGCACCCTTACATGGAGAGAAAGCAGAGTTGGAGACAGACACACATGGAGGGAAGACGATGTAAAGAGGGACAGGGAGAACCCCCTGTGACAACACAGACAGAGGTTGGAGTGGTGCCCTGCCAGCCAGAAGCACCAAGGATTGCTGGCGCCGTCACAAGCTGGAAGAGGCAAGGGTGGGTCCTGCCTTAGAGCTTCATAATGAGCCAGCCCTGCTGACACTTGACTTTTGGACTTCTAGCCTCCAGAACTCGAGAGAATAAATTTCTATTGTTTTGAGCCCCGTTCCTTTTCCCCGCCCCCTAGTTTGTGGTATGTTGTACAGCAGCCCCAGACGACACCTCCCCAAAGTGCTTTGGCCCCTCCTTCAGGCAAATCCTCACTCTTCCTCA